AAAAAAAAAAAAAAAAAAAAAAAAAAAAAAAAAAAAAAAAAAGAGAGAAAAAAATGTCTAATACCCAATCGATTTCAGATGCTTGTTATTTATAGGTGGCACACAGAAGGTAACAAATGTTTAAAAGAACACCGAGGAGTAAGATTTCCTAGTCTGGATACCCACCGCTTGTGGGGATGGGGCTGCACTCGTGGAATGAGAAGCGGGGAGAGTTTTTTTTTTGTGCTGCCATAGGAATCTGCCATTGGTTGCCAAAAAAAACCACATCGGGAACACTCGTAGAGCCAGTCCAGGAGGGCAATCTCTCTCCTTGTCAGACAAAATCAATCGGAAAAAAGCTTGAAAGCCAAAGGCCTGCCAGGTTGTTGGGTTTCGTTTGAGTCTTGGAGCACCACAAGCCTGTAACAATGCTATTTCTTAGGTCTGTTAATCTGCGCGTAGAGAGGTTCTGCTTCCTGGGGATAACAAAAATAAAATGAGCAGAGATGTCTCCTGACAGCATTTTTAGAACATTTTTACARCATCTGCTTGAGAACAGCGATACCTTGCGAGCCAAAACCCACAGGAAGCRTTTGCTTTTTGTGCTGCTTTGAGCGATTGTGGAGCCCCCAGTTGAGTGGTGAAGAAAATGGGATGTTATTTCAGAAAATTATTGTTTACTACCCTTTTCCTCTCCCAGCACTGGTCATGCACTCATCTTTATTGCTGGGCATGGACAATATGAAAAAATTAGAGGATAATTTAGAATTTATAGGCCTGGATGTTTGGAAATTCATGGGCAGAGTACAAGGCTGAGTCCTCCCCACCCCAGCAGCACAAGAGCAGAACATCACCGTGGGTTTTGCACAGCTCGGGAGAAACCCACTGGCAAACAGAAACTGCCACGGAAAGCTGAGCTAATGAAGCTGTGATGGGATTTAAATCAACAACACGAGCAGGGCCCATGAAGAACTGGGAGCGCCAGGCCAGCCCTGCGCAGTTTGATTAGGAGTCTGTAAAACCATTAGTACAATYGTTAGAGCTGGGAGGAAAGCATGTCAATTTGTTAACAGATATTTTCTGGGGAATTTCCTGGATGTGGGAGGGGAGGAAAGCTGCGTTGTTCTTCAGAGCTGACACCCTGTGCTTTCTCAGCACCGCGTTCATCTCGGCTGCGGTGGGAAGCAAACCATCCGTGGACCCTGGAATCCACTCTACTTCATCTCCAGAAACTAATTTATTAAACTAAGAATGACATCTAAAAAAGGAACAAGACAGGCAGAAAGGCTAATTAATGCCATACTGCATTAACTCTCTGCAGTTTGATAAATATTCAAATACCACGCCGCGACGTTGAATTTAACCAAGTTAGAATCAGCTCGTGTAACTCGTGTTACAGCGGCATTGGCAGGAACTGACTTGGAGCAAAAAAAAAACCTCAGAAGGCTGGCAAATCACTGGGCAGTGAGGAGCACAGACAGGTCAGCCAGGGGATGGCAGAGGATTTTAATCACTGCTTATCAAAATGGGGATGAGGATGAGGACAACAGCCCAAAGGTGGATCTGCAGGGCTGGGTGTGCTCTGTGCCCAGGGTTCCTGCTCAGTTCCCCATCCCAGTGAGTGATCTGTCCTGCAGGGACACACAACAAATCCAAAATATGAYCTGTTTCCTCCTCTTTTCCCCCCAGAACTGCTGCATTTCTGGAGCTTGCAGAGACTTTTTGCCCCCACCTCTTACCCAGACAAAACTCTGAGTACACTACAAGCGCTACGAGAGGGTGAGAAAAATCCTCTGGAATGATTAAGTAAATGCTGCTGAAATTATCCCCAGCAAGAGGCAAATACATTTTGTGACCTTGAAAAAACTGAAGGCAATCAAAGGAGCTGACTGAGTGTAAATAMCTGCTTTTCACACACCGTGAGTTAAGTCTACCTACGCCAATTTTCACGTGCAGACTTGACGCTGGCAGAATGATCCATCACAGCTAGTTCAGAAAAAATCTGTACTAATTAATGTGTGAACCTGACACACACCAGGCCATTCTTCAGGCAGTTGCTGAACCTAGGGTGATTGCAAAGGGAAGTGAAAAGGAAGGAGGAGAAGAAAAGGAGAGGGAGGGAGAACATCCCTTTGGAACAAAAGATGTCAGTTTTTCAAATGCCTTCGGGGAAAAAAAGAGCTTTTCAAAATGTCAAGTCTGCTTGTTAGAGATGTCCTCAAATATCCTTCAGATATGCAGATGTGCTGAAGGAACAGGTGTCCTAAGCTGCCACTGGACTCCACACCCTCGGAAGAGGAGGAGGAGCTCCTCATCATCAGCAGCACTTCCAACAAAGCATGAGACAGCCTTTACAATGAGAGACTTCTCTGATTCACACCCAACATTTATCTGCACAAACACSTGATGTGGCAAAGGCCTGCATTTCTCACTGATCTGAGTAATTTCTCTTACAGCAGACCATAGCATTTTGCATGAAAAATGTGCTCCTACTTCTTCCTTTCCRTTGATTTCTCCCTTCAGATGCCTAAACGAGGAATTAACTGCAGTGGTTGTGTGCAGTCTTCCCAGGCAAAGGGTTTTGGTCACTGCCTGAGATTTGTTCCCCAGTATTATTTTCAGCTAATTCAAGCATGCCTGTAGCCCAGCACTGCAAATGGTGTCGGTAAAATAYTGATACTCAAAGAGAGCAAAAGAGAACAGAAAGGGACAGGAAAGAGGMAAAAGGAGAGTTGAATGGTGTGGAYTTCATGGAGARCTCCTCTCACAGTGYCAGGCACTATTTTGGAGGGTCTTGAAAGCAGAAATAACCCTCTCTTTTTTTAATATACTCCACACAAAAGTCACAGAGCATGTTATGGAAAGACAGGTGAGCACAGCTCTTCTCACAGCATCAAAACCATCTCACCAGCGTTTTCTGATTTCTGCTTCCACCACTGCATTAGGAACAGGAGCAGAGGGAAGGAAAGGGAAAGAGCTGGTCTTTGTCAGAACAAAGARAGGAACAAATAAAACAGCAGACAAAGCTTCTAACTCACACAAACCCCTTGAATCTTAAAGTGTGTTCCTTGCTGAACTGACCCAGCATCACTTCTGATGTGCTTTCATCAACCCACAGGGAGAACCACGACAAGAACTGGAAGCACTTTTTCTTTTTTGCTGCTGTATTCCAAAAATACTTCAGGCTGCAAATMACTTTCTTCTTCCCATTTTAAGGGGCACAAGACAGCAGCAAACAGCATTTCTGGTGTAGTCCACTACTGTGTGAGGCAACAAGGGCCCTAACGCTTCTGAATACCATTATGCAAATACCAGAAGTAAATTTGCATCCCATTTAAAGATATTAACATCTGCTCCCCAGCAGAACTAATCACTGGAGAGCATCTCCTGAAAGACTCAGCACCTACCCAGGCTTGCAGGGGTGAACTCACTCACAAAACATAACTCTGGGTTAGGAAGAACTATTTTTACCCTGGCAGCCCTTTGATCACTGCGAGGCACCCGCTACGTGCAGAGCTGCAGGCGAGATGTTCTCAATTGTCGAGGTGAGGCCCGCATAGATTTCCGTGCCCTTTACAGMGGGTTCTCAGCGCCAGTTTTACTCCTGGCTGACTGATCAGAAAGGGCAGGCTCGAATGGGAAAGAGTTTCATGAAATAAGTGTGCTGGAGAGCCACACAAAATGAGCGTCTTGTGCCGGGGATGCAAGTGAAGGGGGTGCGAGTGCGAAGCGTCTTCTCTGCTTTTTGCATGCTGGCCTGGCAAATTAAAGTTGGCAAGTGGGGTTCAAATKAAATATCTTTGGTGATAAAACAGGTCATTCCTTTTGCCCCATTAACAGCCACTTTTTATTATTTATTAWTAATATTTGGTTGTTTTTCTCACAGACTCCATCAGCAGCATAAATACAGGAACCTTCTGGTTCAGGATGATGATTGGAGAGTGCCTCTGTTCTTACTACAAACCTATCTAGGAACATTTCCTAATCTCAAATAYCCAGTTTAATTATCAGSCTTCTAAAAATCTCTGTCATTTTARTATCAAGATGGATGACACACATCCATGAAATGAAAAAGCAGTGACAACTACTCAGAAAGATGAACCTGCTCCTTATCTTGGTCCTGATATAAAAATGAACCACAGCCAAGAAAACACTGATTATTTCTGGGCCCCTCTCCCAAAACAGTGGCCACACAATTATTTCCATCTACAGATCTGTCATCCACATATCTTTCATCTAAATATCTGTCAATTCTCCTTCGTAACATTTGAACCTAATGGCAAATTTGAAGCAAATTGTTCAGAAGTCTCAAAGATGCTGAATTTTCTCAAGTAGATTTTTAAATTCAGTTGTTGTGCAGAAGACAGGGAACTTTTAAATGACTCCATCACAAAGGAAGCATGGAGAGCTTGTCCCCAAATTGAACTATTGGGCTGCAAATCAGCAAAAACAWGGCTCCAGACAAGCTACAAAAATGCTGTCTCTTGTTTAGAGGAAGAAGTTGGAGAAATGGAAGGGTACAAAGTGACCTCAAGTGGGCTTGGGGACACTGGAAGAGGTGAGAAGCCCTTGGATGGGCTGGTTACATGAAAATGGGAAGCCTGAAGGAGATTGKAGCAGCAGAGATAAAGGCAAACCTGCAGGATTCCCCTGCTCGCAGAGCACCCTGCATTTCTCTGATCATGCCCCTGCAAATCTCCTGGGAAATACAAATAACCAACCAAGTATGAGACCTGAAATGTCAATTTTAGGATTTCTCTGGAGTGAAGCAGCACTTCCCAAACTGTGATCCCYTTCTGAAGACACAACACCACTTCTCTCAGGTTCCCAGCCCTGCTCAGCACTGTGTCTTTAGCTCAAGAATAGCAGCCCTAGAACCTGCAGCAAGAATAGGTTACCTTCAATCATTAGGAATTTTTCTTTGGACTTTATCCAGCTCCTATGGAGCCAGTTGAAGGTCCTGAAAGTACAACCTTTAATATTTTGAGCCCATTCAGAGTCCTGGTGCTACAGAAGAGGGGCAGAAGCAAGAGGAAGATGCAGAGTCAGCTTGATATTCCCTCCTGARCTCCCAGGTAACCCAACGCTTTGTCCAGAAACTTTTTCCCTCCACTCCCTAAAACAGGCCCAAATAAAGAGTTACAGCAGCCCATCCTGGAGCTGACTTTTTTAGATTTTTTTTTTAAATTTAAGATTTTTAGGAACATTTCTCACCAAAGTCCAGCACTCCAAGATGGATGATGGCAGTRGGCCACCACAGCCCCACCAAAAGCTGACAGACAAATTTTCTAATGAACTGTTGCTGTCCTGACAGTGCTGATGGCACCGTGAAGGGTGTGACACATTTTGAGGGCTCCCAATTGTCTGCACACATTTCTCAGAACAACTGAACAATTTCTTTCAGGGAGATCTGCTCCAGCCACAAATGTTTTGAAGGTTTCCTGAGAATCTCTCGTGAATGATTGCCAGTGCAAGTTTTTGGAGCTGGGCAGCAGCTCAAGAGAGCTGTGCTTGTTCCTCTGCTCAAACTTCCTGCTTTAATGTAAAGAATGCCAGTAATAGGAAATGTTTAAGACATTTGGTAGGATCACAGCTAGAAACATTTTTTTTCCCTCTCTCTCCTTTCACCACAGCTATTACCCACACAATCTAAAGACAGAAGTAGGGATTAAACATAAATCATCTGAAGATGGCAGTCGTTTTATTCAGTATTTTCTTTACCCCTTCTGGAAAATCACTATCCATCCTCAAAATGATGCACAAACAAAGGGAAAACAACCAAATACAATAATCAGCTCTGCAAAGAGTTCATCTTATTTCACCTGTGGAATTTGGGCCCTTCTGCTTCTTCAACCATTAAGGGACAAAAATGTAATATATCCATAAAATGTCACATTTACCCTATTAAGAGCTCACAGCTGTTTCTGGAAGAGTGACTTCTAGAACAGCAGCTGGAAGGATGAGGATTTTGAGAACTGAAGTTGAAGATTGCAAAAGGAAGAGACGAAAAATAGGAGAAGATAGTAACTAGATGATAATACAGAGTATCAGAAGGAATCMAGAAACCAAATTGCTGTGGTACCTTGGAAGACCAGGGTACAGAAAACAGGCAGGTGGGTATTCTGACTAGATCAAGATAAATTAAGACATTGTATGGGCAGAGCTGATTTCAGAGATGCTGGGAACAGACAGATTTGACATTTCTGCACACAATGCTCTGTTCCTGAGAGGTCCATTCAGCTGAGTAGTTACTGTGCTGCTCTTGGGGCAAGAACCACGTTCTGAAGAGCGAAGTAATCTCCCATCTAAGCCACAAAAGTGGCTTTTAGGCAGGCTGTGATTCTTTTGTATGGTGTGTTTCTCCCCATTAAGTTTCTCTCCAAATGCAAAGCTCAATACACAACTCCATAGTAARTCCTGAATTGATAATTTTCCATGGAGATTAGACTTCCCGTGGCTCTGACGATACCAGGCTGCAGAATTAGATGGGCTGGCTTTGGGAAGTGGATTTCCTACGGACTGCTGCTGAATGGCTCTGCACAGAGGCACAATGATATTAGTGTAACTTCACTGGAGAGAGGCTTTCTTTTTTTGTTCAGCTTCCTGTTCCTGCCTACAGCTTTTAGGAATTACTGTAATACGATAATCAGGAACATTATTTAACGTTTCTCGAAATGTATTTCTGAGAATTATACACATTTGATGCAAGGCTCTACAGGGATTAACGAAAAATGCAGCAAAACCATATGCAATCACTGGTAATATGCTSTCCTTGTAGCTTTGAATTTCAGAGCCATCCTGACTGTGATAAACCATAATAAAAAAATATATGTGGGTTTCCAGAGTGTGGGGCTCAGATAAAGGGCAAATCCTGTTTCAGGACCCAGGAAAGAATTCTTGGAGTGGTCTGGAGCTKGGATAGCTGGGGATGTCAGTGCTGGCCAAGGTCAGGCAAAGGCACAGCCAAATTATTGTGTGGCACCATCCATCTGCAGAAGCAGCTCTCACTGGAGTAAATAATGAATGTTCTCGCTGGAGCAGCTCATCCCAGCTTGACTTTCTCCTTACACTGKCACTTTGAGACTCAAGGAGACACARAGCTTGATGCTGCTTTTGYTGCAGCTCCCAGGAGATGAGCATGGGTGAAGCTACAGAACCACATATTATTAAGAGAGAATCTTATTATTCCCAAGTGGATCAAAGCTAAGTTACTGTACGATTTTCTAAAATCATGTTTAATGCAGAAAGTAAACTGACTCCTAATGAAACGATTAATTCTGAGTTGAAACTAAACCCAGTCACTGGCAAACCCAGTGCAATTTCTGTACAAAAATGGAAAGGGTTCTCCCACTGCTCTGGATTTGCTCCAGGAGCTCTGTGCTGGAGCACAGAAACCGTATCAGATCATGAATTTGGGCAATACCAAACAGGAGTGGCAGACGGGGAGAAGATAATGAAACATATTCTTCAAACAGCAACACTAGAGAGTATTTGGATGGAATAACAACGCTCAGCACTCGTAAAACTTTGTAGCTTCGCTGTCTTTTTGGCAAAACATATTTACTGTATTGAAACAAATCACAGAACATTCACAGGCAGCCACATTTTCTACGTGTTCTGTAACACAAAAGATGAAAAGATCATCTTTCCCGTCTGTCTGGATTCAAATGACTTACATTGATGAATAATTTTTAAAACATCAGTATGCCAATGGTAATATGAATGATGATAATTTTCAGATGTTTTTAATTTGCAGTTGGAGATAAAAATACACAAACCCATTTCAATATTTTTTACATGCAGATAATAAACGTGCTTCTTCTACTGATTACCACATTGATTTAGGGTAGAGACATTCATGTATCATTACATAATTTTATTTAATGATTGTTATGTCTATGGGTAAGATGTCTTATTCCATTTAATATGTTACATCTGACTGAAGGCCAGGGTGGATTTGATAAAAAAATATGCTCTGCCTAATAACACTGTTAATCATGGCTCAGTTTCCCTATTTGCCTTTAGAATTTGAACACAAAGTAAAATCAGTCSACATTTCTTTAAAGCATGCAGGCAGCTGGAACACACATATTTGCATAAGCTGCAACACTCAGTGAATGGCAAAAGCCATGCAAACCACCAAGCACGAGGAATACACGGTGGAGGATGGAGAGGTCAAACGGAAGAGATGGAAAGGAGAAAAAAAAAAATAAAACCATGCATCCATGAAAGCAATGGCAGGCACTGGTGGAAGAGTAAGTGAACACCTCAAGGTGTAGAGAAAAAAAGGACAGATACCTACCCCAACCTGTGCTATCTAGCTACCGACCTGTGGACTTATAGTATCACCAGTTGGCTCACCAAAGGGATCACTGTTGGAGGAGGCCTGAGACCCATCAGGCTAGAATACAAGAACATAACACCTTTTTTTCTCAACAACAGAAAGTGAAAAGTCAACAGGAGGTTATTTTCATGCTGTGGGCATAACAAGTACATCCTATCTCATGAAAACCACAGGGTGAGACCTCGCCGCTGATCCGCTCTCAAAAGCCGTAGTGGTTCCCTGCAGCTGGTGCAGGCAGCAAAGGACCTCACCAGTTCCTGCTGGAGCCCAGGCAGGAGCTGCCACAGGCTGCAGAAGGCACTGGCTCAGGCCAGCCAGAACTGCAAAAGGCCCTGAAAGCCATGTGAATCACAAAGAGTCCAAGCTTGGGTTATTTTGCACCTTTTGTTGTCCCGACCCCCTCTTGCCTTTGGCTCACTCARGCTCCTACCTCCCTAAGACATCTGGTGATTTATACTCATTGCCTGGAAAACATTTCTTGCTTTGGTCCATAAAGGCAAAGAAATCACATACTGAGGGCCAGAACATTGAGGAATGCAGYTGGGCAAGCAACTGGGATGCAAGAATGTGCAGGACAACATCAACCATCATCTTTAACACACAAACTCTCACATCTTTCTCTGCGGCYTCAGCATGTTSGTTGTYTTACCCCAGATTTCCTCACCATGARTAAAGTGAATGCTGGTGTGCTAAAAAGGACACTGGATACAACTAAAATGAACAACCTTACACATGAACTCTTGAGTCTGGTTCCCTGAATGCAGTGCTAGTGCATATCAACAGCAATGTCGTGCTATCAGCTGTCAAACCCACAGCAGGACGTGAATTCTAGCTGCAGTTTCCCTAAAAACACCACCCAGCCCTATTGGAATACACTACAAAACGGCTTTTAATTAGCTTTTATCTTTTCTAGCTAAAGTGAGACAATGAGGATTTAGAAACCTTGTTGCTACTCACAGCCTCTGGCTCCTCACTTTTGCTTGGGCTTTCGAACCCCTCTTCGAAGAGGTCGTCTGCAGCAGGGTCRCTCGTATGAGATGCTGATGATTTTGATGGAGAACTCTGTCTGGGTGCAGGGGTTGGAGCTAAACAAGGATTAAGGTAACACCAACAGGACATATTCTGTTAATTTCTTCAAAAAGACACTGCAGCACAAGATTTGTTCATGCTTTTGCATCCCTCAGCTTTTACCACCCCTGAGAATCATTTTCTGTTGAGGAGCTCTTTGAGGTAAATTTGGGCACAGCAGTCATTATCAATCCCATGTGTTTGATTTCATTTGGAAACCTCCAAATTAAGTTTGGCTGCATCTGGCCTATGCCTTTATGAAGCTGGGAGACACCACTGCATTACAAGAGGGATGTGTGAGTTGCCTGCCCTGTAGCAGGTCAGTGAAACAGAGCTCTGACTGACCCCTGGTGAATCCCATCAATTTTTCTTTTCAGCAATCTGCAAAATCCCCCATCTCTGTGCTATGAACACCAAAAAGCTTATTTTACAGCTTCAATCACCAGTACATCAAGCTATTAAAATAAATACCCATCCCCTAATTTCTGCAAAGGATGGATGGGACGTAAGCAAAAACAGCTGTAAGTTTGAATATCATGGGCATTCAAACCATCCAGCTTCCATGTCCCCACCACAAAACATGTATTACTGCCTTAGAAATTAAATTTCAGACTGCAGCTATCCCAGGCTACTCATTTCAATGGYCTCTGAAATTCCTCTCAGATATTTTCTTTATGGTTAGAACATATTTAATAAGCCAGACCATGCATGAAGGTTCTCACATGTGGGTTGGAATTTAAAAGGGACAGAAGTGCTTTGAGGAGCAGTGCTTTGAGGAAAGGGATGGCTGAAAGCACATAAATACTCACGTGAATTTGTAGATGGTGTCGTGGAAGTCACAGGAGTCAAATTTAACTGAGAGATGTCAAAGTCATCACAATCATCTGCTTCCTGTGCCATCCCAACTTTGTTAAAGTAACTTGAGAAGGCCTCTGAGGTACAACTGAGGGAAGGCTGATCTGGTTTTCTTGATGGCACTGGTGGAGGCTGAGCCATCTGGAAATCTTTAAACATTTCTTTTCCCATTTTCTGCCTGGGCCTGTCTGTCTGCGGACTCGACCTGTTGGAATCGCTCGTGGGCGGGACGGTGGCTATGGGAGCAATGGTACCTTGAAACATGGCTGCTTGTAAAGGCAAAACAGTTTGTGTCGGCATGAAGGCAGYGGGCTGGAACTGGCCAGCCACGGACGGCCACGGCTGCTGGGTGGGAGGAAAGATCCCGGGCTGGCCCCACGCGATGGGCTGCCCTCCCTGCATCACCTGAGCGACTGGAGGCTGSGCACCCATGGCCAGCTGCTGCTGAACGAGGGGCTGCTGGCCCCAGAAGGAGGGCAGGACAGCTCCCATGGCAACATAACCTTGGAGAGGAGAGAGAGCAGGAGGGGGGGAACAGACAGGATGGAAGATGTTAATGCCGTGGTCAAGAGCGCGCAGGAAAAAGCGACGCGATARATCAGAAATGTGCAAAGGGATCGCAGAATGGGAAAGGAAACTGCAAACACCCAACTCACACTGCTGTACAAACACTCATGGGCAGAACCACGGGCTGCTGGGCTCCGAAAAGCAAAGCATCTCAAATTGCAGCATTATGCTACTGCTACTACGACTGCTAATAAAAAAAAATCCAAACCAGATGATTTCAGATTAAAACCCTACACACTCGGTTATTACCCAATTACTTCAGAACATCAAAATGATCTTGAGTTTCTGCTGCACTAAATACCTATTAACAAYAAACTGCTTCAAGTATTAGACTAACAGAACTCCCTCCAGCTGAGGAGGAAATTAAAGATTAAAACTAGAATTATAATTGCTTCCTGTCAGACCTGAAGCCTCCTTTTGAGCTACCAAAAGCTCCATCATGTAGGAATTACATGATCAGGTACTTTTTGATTCACAACAACAAAATACTCTGAAACTAAAACTACTGCAAAAAAATTTACAAATTAAAGCACCTAATATAATTACGTTCCACTGATAGAAGCACCGTGCTTTACAGATTTGTTGTTTCATATTTAAATTCATTGCTTACTACTAATACTTTGCATAATATAACCTCTCTCAATTTTAATATTGCTATATCTTTRAAACTCTTATTTCTAACCTAAGTGTTTCCTGAGTCCTCCTGTAYSTTTTCCTCTTTGCTTTATTTCTRGGCTGTTTTGCAATMATGAACACAAGGGTKGCTGTTATAYTGTAAAGGGAAAAGYCTAAAYCCCAATAAAATGAAAAGATAAGAAACTGATCTTTGAGTGACCAAATTGTTGAGTGATGAAAGGAGCAGCAGCTCAGACACATTTCAGTTCCAAAAGATGGCCAAGATGGATTCTCCAGATGTCCTTTGATGTCATCCCAGCAGTGAAGGGACATCTGCCATTATCCCCAAACACTTCACTGCCACCGTAACCTTTCTGAGGTGCAGTGGCTGATCTGGTGCCATCAGAGGGGTTAACCAATTAGAAAATCACTGCTGAATGAGTCCAGGCCTCCTCCTCCTGCTTTCTTTGCCTAAGTGGAACTGTGAGCCCAGGGAGAGATCAGCAATCAAACCATGGTGTCTGCAGAATGCACCCAGCTTTTGAATTCTGAGGAAYACGGGGRAGTCTAAAGGACATGCCAGGATTTRACAAAGTGGAAYACCTTTGAAGTGSCATCAGATTTTTYGTGCCTGAGCCTCTGCTCACTGCAGACAGCAGAGGATATTCACTGCTACCACAAAACCCCCAAATCCAAACCAAATGCTGTTTTCTCTCTCATTACTGTACCTAGAAGGTCTGTTATCYGCATGGCTGAACTRTGCTTGAACTCCCAGTGACTTTTTTGGCTTTTGCTTTAAAAAATGTCAGCAAATTCAGACTAATGTACACTCAGCTCATTAAAAGATTTGCTTTGCCTTGCCCTGAAGCACTGACCTCAAAAGCCTACCCCACTTCCACTGTGCTAAAATCAATGCCCTGAGTATTGAAACACAAACCAGAGCTGGGCACTGATCCCCAAACCCAATTCCAGCCTGGAATTCCAGTGCATTTCTCACCTGAGGGTACGGCAGCAGTGCTGAAAGGTACAGAACCAAACATGTCTGTACCAGCAGGAAGTGACTGGGATGAAGATGGGATAAAGGCATCACCTGGAGTAGCAGGAGTCTGCAAAAACACAGGGATAAAACACGGGGGTGACACATCATTGTCACATCACCTGTAACTCTAAAAATGCAGGTTTGGACTGAGGAATGAGAAAGAAGAAAGAATGGAAAGATGTAGAAGGAAAGAAGCGATAGAAATGAAAGTATTAAAGTTTGCTGGGGATAGGAGAAAATGGAAGAAAAGGAAAAACTTTCTATCAAAGGAAAAAAAAAATCAAAAYGGAATACACTATATGCAAAATACTGAAATAATTTCTTTCTCCAGAACATACAGATTTGTGATTTTAGATGTTAGGTGACAAAAGGGGGTGGCAGTGACCAAGGCATTAACTTTAGAAACAGTTAAGGTAAATGAAGTATCTGCAGGATTCATGGTAAAATGAATAAATATTGCTTCTAATTAACCAACAGGACCAGAACCATAGGTCTACATTGAAGGAGAAGCCAAATCCAATTGAGAAAGGTGAGGATGAGCAGACAGTCTGCTCTAGTTCCAGTCATGCTCCAGAAAACCTTGGAGATTTGAGGCTCCTGACCTCGCAGAGCCTCAGTTTTCTCTGTATATTCACACTTCCCTACAGTTAATGAAAGGCTCAAAACTTTTACAGGAAAATTATTGGTTTTTCATTTTATAATCCAGAAAAGCACACTGAGAAAATTTTCATTGCCCTCAAAATACATCCAGCCCTTTCTCTCTTTACTGTTTTGCCATCCCTCCTGGAACAGCAGCTCTGGGATCTGTGCTTGGTGGATGCAGAAACACGAAATACGAGGCTGTAACTGCATCTTCTGCAGTGCAGTGAGGGAAATGARGCATTTCCCTCTGACAAACACCAGGGCAGCAGATCTGCACCTCAGCTTGTACCTCAGGTGACACCTAACACTAGAGCAGAAAAATAAAAATCAAAGGTATTTTCACACATTGTCGTGAAACAGGGACTGGATGTTCAATTTTCTTCACTTTTATTTTCCTGCAGCCTAAAAACTACTTTGGAATCTTCCCCACTGGAACAGCTGAGGACACGAATTGTAAATGTGCTCAATAAATTGAAAATGGCATGTAGGAAAAAGCACAGTGCAGTTTCCCTGGGTACTCACTGGGGGAGAGGTTACATCAGGAGGAGTGGACATGTCCCCAAAAAGCTCTAGTTGGGTAACAGCCTGTGAAGAGAAAAAAAAAAATCCATTTATCTTTTGAGGAGAAGAAACTGTGAATGAAGAAGTTACAACTTGTAAAGTTATCTGGTAACAGCAAACAACATAAATCTCCCCAAAGTCCTGAGGGCTTCAGCTGTGAAGTCCCATATGGAGGAAGCACACGGGTTCAAAACGTGGGATTTTGATGTTGCTGATGGACCCAAATAGCCAACAACTGACACTGTAAAACAGTTCTGGAGGGGATTCTTCAAAATGAGAAAAAAAATTAATAAAACATGAAAAAACTATCCAGAACAGGCCTGGATGCATTACTGCTCTGCCTTTAACATCAATGAGCACCAAGGATGATTTATGGCCAGTCCTTTTCTAAACCCTCATTTCAAGGTCTCAAATCATGGCAGCAGCACGAGGAGTGCCAGAAGGGCACAAGAGGGAAGGGTTTTCAGAGTGCTGCCTGATTTCCYCTTGCCCATGGGACAGGTGTGACCTGGATAAGTGGACTTGAAGGAGGATGCACAACTGGGTTATCTCAAGTTTGTGGCTCTGCCTTTAATTCTTGTTAGAAATATTTTCTCAGGACACCCTTCAGTGGGAGCTGAAAACAGGTCATCCATGCAGGCCTGGCTAACTGGACCAGAAGAGAAAACACACTTTRTTACAAGGAGCAACTTGAGTGGCTGCATAATCAAAGCTCCTTCACATGCTCTTGAGTAAAAGGATTCCCTTGCACCCACCTGCCAAAGAGTTCAGCTGGAGTTCAGGGATGGTAAAGCACAGATCCCTCAGAGCTCTGCAGGAAACCTAAACCCCATCATCCAGCATCCTTAGCAGCGTGGCTGCACTGGAAAGATTTTCAGAACTCCTTCTCCACTGCCTTTCTAACTAGTTTTCCCTGTATCCCACTCAATCACACCCACACAGGTGGGAAGCCCCAATTCTCATTCTGAATGGGATTTAAGGCAAATCTGAATTCAGCTCCTATTACAAATACAGGTTTGACATTCAGTTGAGTCTTGTCCTGTAAAGGCAGTCCCTGAGTGCTTTGGACAGTGACCAAACTGGCTGGTCAGGCTTTACAACCTTCCAAAAGACCAAGATAACCCCAAAAATCTTTTCCTGCCCCCAACCTTCCACTATAAATCACCCCTTAAGGAGCAAGACTACACATACCAAAAGTTTACACTTTTTTTTTCAATCCAGTCACTATTCCCACATATGAAAACAATTCCACAATCGCTTAGACCTGGAATTTGTCTAAGCAGCTTGGATAATTCCCAGCTTCATACCTAACGATGCACTCAGGGATGAAGGATCTCACATTTCCTCACATCATGTCTTTTATTAGAAAGATCACTKTGCTTTAATGCTGTGACAGTGCATTTTCTTATATCCCTCTAAGAATTTGCATGGAAATGCAGAAGGAAAAAAGAGGAAAATCCACGTTTTCTTCAGGGTATATGGATTCTAGTGCATTGTACTAAAGTACTGTCAGAAGTAGGTTCTGAAAAAACCCCAAACCCAAGCCTAAGTCCCTTCTGCAGTGTGCACAAACACACTAGGCCAGGGATGTTAAAATGCCCAGGAAAGTGGGAATAATGACAACAGCAGCACTCCTTTGGAAATCACTTCAAGCCTCCTGCAGGCACTGCTGACTCAAGAGCTGTCAGGTGACACTGAAACACTCCAAGAGCCACTTTCTTCYCATCTCTCCAAACTGCTTGTTTAGCAGCACCCCAAACCTGCCCTTTTCCTGCCCCCCTTGTGAACTATTCCCTGTTTCCTCTGCACTGCCTTTCTAAGGAGCACTTGAGCCTTTTCCACGAGCAAAAGCTCCCCTGTGCCTCCATCCCASGTGAGGGAGCAGATGAGCCCAGGGAGGATGGGAAAGGGCAAGATACACACAGTGGTGTGCAAAGTTATACATTTTTTTGTGGGAAAAATATTAGAGGTTTCACAGGAATGCTGGAAATTGATATTCAGTATGCTTTTGAACCCTGGATTATATGAAATGCATTTGAAAAGGGGTAATTCAGATCCCTGTGCCTCCACACTCCTGGATAATGGGAACAGCAATGCATCTCAGAGTGCTTCGAGGTGATGGATCTTTGGAAACTCTTTGCAGATATAATTCTGTTAAAGCTCTGCAGACACATTTCTAAACAGGCAGCTGGGGAGAGTGATAGGAAAGTCAACAGCACTTTGTTATAATAAAGCCTCGCTCACAATATTCCCCAGCAAAAAGAAATGTATTTACAGGGGAATTATTTTGTACAGAACAGCAACCTCCTGTGCAACAGGAGCTACAGAAACCACATCAAGATGATGCGAACACAAATTTAGTGGGAAAAYACAATGCCTTCATTTACTGACTAGGGGCAGCTTTAAACAGCRACACTTGGAGGTGGATTTTGAAGTCCCAAATGGTTCAGATTTGGAATCTTTTTTCAACAGTTCTCAGCCTGAATAAATGAAAGCATCTTCCCTGACACAGAGCTGCCTTTATCCACTTGCAGCACACGAGATCCTGGACACTTATCTCTTCTTTCTGTGATTTCACTGTCACTACAGAACTGATTTCACCCCTCATGCTTCATTAAGATTATTCACATCTGATATTAGCTACRTTCCAGTGAAATTATTCCCAAGATGAACATTTTCCAATTGCTCTATTCCTATAGATGATTTCAGCTATATTTCCTTAAAATATTTTTGAGTCACAACCTTACCTGAGTGACTGAAACAAGATTTTCATCAATGTCCAGCAATAAGTTTCCATTCTCCAGCTGTAAAGCATGATTTATGAAATGAGATGAATGATTTATGAAAATGACATGAATTTCTGAGCATGAAAATGATAAYCTCCATAATTATTGACTTCAGCATTGAAATGAAAACCCTTTCCATCTTGCTGTGAGCACAGATATGAGATCAGGCAGTCAAAACAGTGAGTTTGAATGCTGCTGGGATGTGGGGCAAACATACATTTCATTTGTGCTAAATCTCATCTTCTGGTGTATAAAGCAATTTCAMTGCTTGTGACACACCTATTTATTTTCCCAAATATTTATTAATTCAGCAATAAGCATACCCAGTGAGCTCTGATCCTACTTATATTAATGGAACTTTTCCCTGGCTTGGTGAAAGAAGGGATTTAACATCCTCAGGGGAAAAAGGAGTAATTGCATCTTGGACAACAAAAGCTCTAAAGCCAAGTATCTGCAGAAAAAAAMCAAACACACTTCTCTAACTAGGAGAACTATAAAAAACATCGATGCAAATGTAATTTAGATAATTATTTTCTTTCCATAGCAATTTTGAAAATTACACAAGTCAATTCAAATTATATTTAAATCTATACTTTGTGTGTATGTAAATATACATGGGCATATACTGCCCTCACATCTATACACATCTGTATCCATCCACATATTATCATTTCAAAATGCTAAATTTCAGGTAACATTTACTGTAGTGTTGGAAACTTTATTTCTGCAGACACAAATAATAGCAAGCTGGTGAAAATCAACTCTGAGATGATTGAGATGCTTTGCACAAGCTACCAGCCAGTAATCCCATGTCACTTAAAAATCTCCCAAACAACCTAGAATGCTTTCCCCGTCCCCATCTTATCACAGAGCTGAAGAAAAGAGGGRAAAAATAGAGTGGAAAAAGGAAGATAATGTCACTGTGCACAACCAGGAACAAATGCAGTCCTGAACCTTCCTGGAGCTGACCCTGTGTTCCCCCAACCCTCAGTGAGCAAAGTGTGAAAAAATCTGTGTCCATTCACTCAACTCCAGAGACTTTGAAAATGCTCTTTACATGAAAACAGAAAGGTTTACACCTTTTGGCCAGCAGTTCATCCCTTTGTGCTCTGACAGCCCCCTTGTTTKMCCCCCATGCTCCAGCASTGGGGATGAAGCTCCAGTGGCTGCRGTGGCTCCGTGGGAGCAGCTGAAGGATAAATCACTCCTAGAGCAGAGGGAATTTGTGCTCAGAGCTCAGTGCACCATCAGAAACCCCCACATGTGCTGTACAGGACCTTGCAGGAGATATTTGCCCAACACATCATGGTGCATCCCCAATGCACAGTTACCACGCAGCACTCGAGCCTCAACTTCCATCAGCTCATGTTTGGCATCGCACAGCGTGAGGAGACACTTCTGAGGGTGAAATATCCCTGTCTGCTGGGGCATGGAACAGCCTTCCATGGCAGCTCTGTCGAGGCAGCAGCGTGGGCAAAATTTGCCCTTTTGAGCCTTCCTCTGATTCAGCTTTTCAACACAAAGACTTTGCAATCAAAATCAACAACATTCTCCCTCCTTCCCAAGTGCCTCCCAGAAAATAACCAGAGGCCTGGAGAGATGCTCCAGCTCTTGATCTTTTTCCACATGAGGATTCCTCCACAGAGTGATGTAAAAGCTCATTTTAATGATTCCAAAAGGCTCAGTGTGGAATGTGAAACACCCCAGTCCACCCTGACAAGCGGCCGCGCAGAGCGGGGCGGAGGAAGGAGAATCAATCYTGCTATCCTGGTGACATTAAAGCTCTAATGAAAGCTCCATCTTCCCATACAGGCATGACAGACAACCTGTAAATCTTTCAAACATGAAATATGTAAATCTGGCTCCTTAAAGCAGCAGCAGCCCTCCAAGCCAGTGGCTGTTTTAAACCACTCCAAGCGGGCAGTGGAATTCCTCGTGACACTTTTCACTATTCACGAAAGAATTACTTATTATCCAGGAGCTGGAGAAAAGTGAAGAGTGCAGAAGCAATGRTAATCAYAGAATCACAAAATATCCTKAGGTGGAAGGCACCCACAAGGATAAGAGAAAAATAAACTGCAGCTTTCATAAACCTCATAAAACTGATCCACTTCCACTACAGTATTCCCTCTGACCACAAAGTCCCCTGAAAAACATGCTTTTTAAGCAATGGAAAAGTTGGTATTTTAAAAGGGAAATCTAAAACTRGGCTCTTGTGCTCACATGAGTGTGAAGCACCTTCTTTTTTTCACTCCCATATACATATCAAGACAGAATATTCAACTTCTGCTGCTCAGTCTGTTTTTCACCAGCAGCAAGGGATCTATGCTGACACATGGCACGAGAAAACCTGCTTAATACTGCTATACTTTYGCAAACAAGATGATAAAAGTAGCATCTTACAAAACATGGCTTTGTAATCTCAGAGAATGGCGCAAAGATGGTGCTTAAAAGCATGAAAAAAATACGTGGTAATTAACTTGTACTCTGCTACAGAGCTCAGCAAGAAAAAAAGAGTATGAAGGATACTAAATATAGCAAATAACCAGCAATTAGTAATTAACCTTTGAGCTGGGTATTAGCTATTCAACTCCTTGAAAGCAGCAGAGGGATTTAAACTCAGTTTCCTGCATTCAGGGTGAGTGCTGTACCACACAGCCCTGCAGACAAAAGAGGAGTCACCCAACCTCAGCCTCTCTGCATCTCCAAATCCCTTTTTCCAACATGGATTTTATTTGGAAATCTAATGACAAGTCAAATGGTTGGTCAAACCAAAGGTTTTCTATCTTATTTCGGTTGAACATATAAATATTTTGGCTATGACAATTAATTTTTTCTGATGGTTCAAAKGGTTATTGCAGCTCAGCAAAGCCCCAGTTTGCACCTTGCACCACAACTGTTGATGTTGCTCCACRAGCTGCACGCAGCTTGCTAATTAACTACAATTCATTCTAAAAAAACAATTAGAACTGTAATGAAGGAGCATGTCAGAATAGTGACTAAACCATCATCAGTCAAACCACATCTGGTAGGCTGAGACACTCTGGAAACATCCCACAGACAYTGTTTTCCTGTAGAACTACTGCTGAATTAATGAAGTGGCGTGGGAACTCAAAGAGCTGCTCAATTAYTCCCCAATTAAAGAGAATACACTGAAGAACGCGTGTCAAGGAAAAACTGTCAATGTCTTTGCCATCTTCAGCTTTCCTACAGATCCTAAAGGTCCTCAATTGCYAAGAACTTTCCCATTAACAGATTGCTGTTACCATCCCAGATTTACACAGGTACAGCTGAGTACAACYCTTTACTTGTAAAGCTGTTGTGAGCATTTAAYTGTGGAATCAAGAATGGTTTGGGTGRGAAGGGACCTTAAAGCTCATCCAGTTCCAATCCCTGCCATGGGTAAAGGACACCTCCCACCAGAYCAGGCTGCTCAGAACCCCATCCAACCTGGCCCTGRACACTTCCCAAYSTCTACAGGGCATGTCAGCCACATTACACGCCATGAAACTCTTCTGATGGATTTTAATCCAAAATACAGGCATTTTGGGCATGTGGAATTTGCACAGGGAACAAAACCAGTGTTCAGGAATCCCACAGGTCATGGGATTTCTCCTGTTTAAAGTCCCTCTTTTCAGTTTCACAGGGTAACTCTGATTACTGGTCTAGATCATCCTTTAGGGAGTTCTCCTGAAGCCCTAAACCCAASTTCTGGTTTTGGTGTGATGTACCCAACCACAGGGCAGTGCTGAGCTTTCCTGCATTCCCCAACCTTTGTTTGGTCACTGGGAAGCACTGGGCTGGTTAAAAATCCCGTGTGTGAATCCTGCAAAGCTGAAGAATTGGGATTGTTGGATATAAGTGACATCCCAAATTACTGAGGATTCTTGAGGGAATGGAATTGCTCCACTGTTGCTCCAGAGCTTCCTTTAAATCAAGGAACTCTTCATATGATCAAAACCGACGCTTGCTCATTTGTTTGTTTTCTCTTCATTTGCAGGGAACTTAATTCTGAATTCCCAGTGTACTTGGGGTATTTACTCTTATAGGAAATGGTTTYCAAAATGCCTCAATTACCACTTTTCCCTGACAGACCCTAATAAATCAAGAGCCAGACCCACGCTGCTCCCAGGCCACACATTCCCAAAATAATGAAACTTCCCAAGCATGGGGGATGCTGCTGCAAAGGTCCCAGACACAGGGTCAGGACGGGAAAGATGAGCCCTTTAATGTCAGGATCACAGCCTGGGAACATGGGGTAACTTTCTTTAATTAGCAATGGTGAGAACCCAAATCTCCACGTGGGAGCCAAACTCMACTTCTGGGCTGTGACAGCAGAGCCAGCTCTGGATGCTTGCAGGGAATAAACTCAAAATTAGGAACAACCTCGTAATTATTATTTAAAATACTTGCAAGGCACAGTTTTACAGTTGTATCTAATGCTCTTCAAAACACCAGGTGACTGGAACTCTAACCAAACTTCAGAAACGAGTTATTTCTGCCTTCCCTGGTACTTTCCAAGCCCTGAAATCTCATTATTTTCAGCAGAAAAAAAGCCAAGACCTGTGTGCTTTACTTAAGAAAGCAGGGTATCACCGAATGAAGCTACAAAAATTAAACTCCAAATTGTGTAAATGGTATAATTTAAGGCATAAAGCGATGCAGACCAGGTAAAGTTACAAACTTCACTACTTAGAAAGCAGATTGTAAATAAGTATTTTAGCAAATTAGTGTGAGCTGCAGGGCTCTGAACAAATCCAAAAGTAGTGAATCAACACAAGGAGCAGCTGTCACCTTATCAGCTGCTGTCAGATAAAATCTGCAATGGTCATATTAAATAAAAGAMAAAAATTCACTGTATGTGACACAACTTTATGCCACAATCAATGAGACTGATCTATGGTTCAACTACACTCTTTTCTCCACTTTGGAGAATATCAAAAGGTTACAGAATATCACCCCAAAAATGCACAGGAACTCAGGGAAGTTTGGGAATGCAAATTCACATGAAGCCATTA